AATAACTGCCCAGCATCCTCTGCCCAACCAATCTGAATGTAGGAAAATCTACAGATATGACGGAATCTACTGTGAATCTACCTACCAGAAGTATGTTGAAATCTTTGTGAGTCTTCCTCCTGACTCGTGCATCAGCGTGTGGTTGCCAGCTATTAAAAAATATCCTTGTATTGAAACCTTATATTTTTCTAATTTAGTGGGGGCGGGGGGAGGGGGAACCAAAACCAAATAGAATAAAAACAACCAAAAAATGTGTCTCTGGAATCAGACAGAATAAAAAAAAAATGTGAATGCTTTTGGAATTCTAGTCTAAGAGTTTTAAAAAATGACTATATTAGAGCTTTTAGGTAAGCTTCTTTTTATTGCTATAAACAAATACTTATATGCAAGAAAATCTCAGCAAAATACATTGCACAGGTGCTGTGCATCTTAGGGATTTGAAAGGTGTGTTATGTATAAATTAGCTGTCACTTTTTTTCAGTCCTGTAATGGAATGATGAGTTGTAATTTGCATAATCCTTTAAGAAGTCAAATTATACTGTCATGTAGCAGACTTAACATGCTAGCTAAGATTTCAGAGCTTTGCAGCTAATTACTATGTACCTTACAGGACAGTTAAATTGAAGTTGAGTCTTCTGTCTTTGCTGCCATTTGCTTTGTCCATTACTTAACAGAATCTGCACAGTTGGTAACAAGGTGTTGTTACTCTCTGATGTGAACGCTGCTCTGGGGAGGAAAGCATTTTACCATATCACAGCTTGCCTTGTATTGCTTTTACAAAGAAGAAAGTTTCAGTTTTTTGTTTTGTTTTTAAAAACAATAGTCTAAATTGGAATCTCCTCAAAAAGGATAACATTTATGCTTTTCACAAAGTTATGGGATATTACTTGTAGCAACATTACCTTTACTTAATTAAGTTTTCTTATAAAAAATGTAAAGTTAAGGTAAACATTATTTCATTGAAGCATTAGTATTTCTAGCTGTACTTTGCAAATAGAGTTTGGTGTGTTTTGTTCAAAAACTCCTAACTTCTTTTGCAGTAGTTTCATTATTGAAAAAAAAAAATACCCCTTTTCCTTAAAAATGCTTTTGAAAATAAGTTGGTTCCTTCCTTCCCTCCTCCAGTTGCTCACAGGGCATCTTCTTTCATGGTTTCCATGTTATAAACGATCAGGAGATCCTGGAGCCAGTGAAGGTTGCTCCCTGAAATGGGCGGTATCCCTGTCTCTTTGTCACTTAGTTGCCTCTCGCTTTATTTCTTCGTGTTTTGCTGCTTAGACAGCATCATTTCCTTCACCAGAATCGGCGTAATTATATGCAAAATTACTTCTGATTATTACTTCAAAAATTCTTGTTGCCCGTGAGTCACATGCATTGTTGTTACTGGAATCACTGTAATTTCTAGTGATTCTGTGGCTTTGTTGTGATTAATGGATACTTTGAAGAAGCCTTTTGTTGTGTAAGAAGGGGGTCCTATAAGGACCATCTTAAATCAGCGGCTGATTATTGACCATTCTAGTAATTGGAGCCCAACGGCCAACTGTGGTTGGTTTGTAATTAAGCCGGTTTCACGTGTCTGAAATTACACTCTGCTCCGAGGCTGGGGTTTGTCTGTTTGAGGTCAGGAGCCCGGAGAAGGTCGCCAGGAATGCAGTCCATGGCGAGGCTTTCCTTGTAACCGTAGGTATCCTCTCCAGGGCTGGCTTTGTAAAGAATTGGTGTTATTTGTAGTCAAGGTAGACGCAGTAGGCAGCACAGCTGTGACTGCCAGGCAAAGTCACTTGGGGGATATTCATAACAAGGAAATATTGGCAAATAAATGATGAAGAAGGGGAGGAAATCCCCAAGATGTTAAATTGGAGCACTGTCACTGCGATGATTAATGGTGTTGTGTATTTTAGTGAGGATGCTTATCTGGATTGTCTTGAAACTATAGTGTACGTTTAATACACCTATAAAAAAATAACACACACACACACACACACACACACACACACACAAAACGGGGCGCGTGAGCACAGGGAGGAGAAAAGGCCATGGGTTCAGGTTTTATTTTCCGGAGTATTTTCTCCAACTAAGTCTTTGGTTTCTGGTTATTAGAAAGCTGGTCTTAATGGATATTATATACATAAAATATGTTTTTATTAATCAGCACTTACATAGCATTTCCCTAGAGGATTGAAGATGTTTTGTGACAAAGTTAGGTATCTTTTCAACACTCTTGAGGGATGAATATTATTAATAGAGAAATGGGTATCACTGAATTTGCCTAGTCATCCTAGGCCAGTGGTCGGCAAACTCATTAGTCAACAGAGACAAATATCAACAGATATTTGAGAGCCAAAAACCGACTTCTGTGCGCATGGGCCACGAAGTTTCAATCACTTCACCTGCAATCCCACATGTGGTGGTATTTTGTGGAAGAGCTACACTCAAGAGGCCAAAGAACCGCATGTGACTCATGAGCTGCAGTTTGCCAACCACGGTCCTAGGCCAAAAGGCAGGCTTGGCCATAGGGCTCTTTGTAGTGTAAAGGGCCGAACTTTCATCAGTACAGTTTTTACAGAACTTTTCTGTCAATTTCTGGGGAAGAGGAAGCTGTCTTGGAAGGCCTTTTAGCTTCCAGTGTCAAGCCGTGAATATCCTGATTCTGAGTAATGAATTCGCTTTTGCCTGGAGGGATCTTTTATCAATGATGGGAGGTTCATATTTGGGCAAGTATTTAACCTTCTGGGACCTCAGTAAGTATTACTAGACAGGAAGAGATACAAATGAGTTTAGAGGCTATTAGATCACTGTTTTGTTTTGTTTTTGTTTTGTTTTGTTTTTTGTTTTATTTAATTTTGGGGGTCCTAACCAAATAGTGAGATATGAATCCAATTTAGTGGATCAAGTGCAGAATTTTTAAAATGAAATGGAGGAGAATAGAACATTCTCTTATCAGTGCATTGCAATTAGTAAGGGTGTGTTTTATCTTGTGAGGCTTCTATTTTGGTTTTATGCATCTGTGTGTGTACAGAAAACTGCACGTATGTGTGTTCACAGGGTGGGTCATGAGGTAAAATGTGTTTTTTACTGTTCTAAGTCCAAATAAAGATTTAAAGCCACTATAAAGAGGGTTCGGTGGATAAGCATAATATGTAGTTTTGTCCTATGTGTTCAGGGTACAGTAGCTTATAAAGAAGTGGTCAGCTCTGTGGAAAGGGCTCAGCAGTGAAAAGGCTACACTCTCTGGTCTCATATCCAGATGTGCTGGAGCCATTCCGGATGGGCACATTTTTCATCCCTGATTCCTGACGGATGTGAGTAAATTGAAATTGGGCCAGTACTTAACACTGTGAAGATTGGAAAATGCTGCAAATCAGGCGCCCTCCCACCTCCAACTGTTTATCTGCTCATTCTTTTCAGCTATAATTCTGTGGCTTAACAATTATTGTGAATTTCCACATTTTAAAATTTATATTAAATTTTATATGTACACACAGATGCATAAAATCATTTAAAATTTTATTATTTATATTGTGTTTAGATGTTTGATGAATTATTGAAGTAATTAAATCATTTTAATAATATTAAAAATTTGAAGTACACAGGAATTAAAAAAAAACCCTCAAATTAATTATTTCAAAATGTGTATAATTTGAGTGTAAAATAATTGTAGTTACCCTCATTTCTCAAATATGTGCTTATGACTGGCTGGCCAGTTTAAAATTTCAAATTATAATTGGTGATACTAAGTTTCTTGGCAAAGGGTAAGGAATACTGTGTTTCCAAAAACACTAACCACATTGTAAATATTTTACAAATTTCATTGTTTTATGTTAAGCAGTCAACTTGCTAAGTACTGACATTTTTAGGTCCCCCTCCCCATTTTCAGCTGTCTTTATAGTTTGCAGTGATATCTCTGGAATTTAGTGAACTCATCTATAATATAATATAATGGATTTGATTGGGAGATGCTAAAGTTCTTTCCAATTGTCAGTTTAATTTTTTTTTTTTCTATTTTCAATATAGAAAGACTGGGGGGAAAAAGAGAAATGACACCCATCTCTATAGTAACTGTGATAACTTTGAACTTGGCTCTTAATGATAGGCAGAAAATATTTGAGTCAGGAAAAGAAACTTTTGTGGACATAAAATAGAATGATAGCAATAAATCTATCGAAAACCACCTGTATTAATATATGGTAGTGAGGAAAATTTACCAGCCAGGAAGGAGTCAGCTGAGATAGGGCCTTAAAAAACCTCAAAATTTGTCTCCATTCAGCCACCTGGTTGGACACTATTGTAGAGGTATTTGAAAAGGAGAGTGATCATCTTTAAAGCTGGTTCAAGAACAGTCATTTCACCAATATTAGAAAAGATTAGCTCTTGGGGGTACTAGAACTTAAATCACTAACATTGAGCGTATGCTATGCCATTGCAATGGGCACTGTGGTACCGATTTTTTGAAAAGGGGTTTAACCCTGGGTTTCTAGTCTCAAAAGTGCAACCAAGATCCAAGATCAGAGGGAGTGTTGAGTCAGTCATTACCTTAAAAGCAGAAGAGGTCCCAAGCACAGCTGTGAGGTGAATCTTTGTTTCCTGTATTCTCCATCCCAGCCCCTTCTCCTGCTCTGTGAAAGTCCTTCCATCTGGATGCCTGGTTAGTGTGTCATGCCTAGGGCCTTGTCTCCCTGGCCATTTTTGTCTCTAGCCTTCATCAAGTGTTAAAGGGATAATGTTAACACTGAGGGTCATTTGCATATTAATACACAACTCCAAGTGGAAGAATTCAAGGGGAAAAAAGGGAGTCTTCTTTAGTAGAGTCATTTCTGACACCACAAGGGGGTGGAGGAATTAACTTGGGGTGTGTCTGTGTGTGTGTGTGTGTGTGTGTTTGTGTGTGTGTGTGTGTGTGTGTGTGTGTGTGTGTGTGTGAGTGATTATAGTGTGTGATGTCTCCCCCCTCGTCTGAAAAGAACAAACCTAGAATGTGGCTGTTCTCCTACTCAGTGCCGTGTTGGCCAAGAAGTATGGGCTTGGGAATGGGAACATTCAGGCTTAGAAGAGAGAAGGAATTAAGATGTTCTGGGCATTTGAAGAGAAGA